GGATTTGAACACACGTATTCAGATTCCAGAGTCTAGGCTTTCAACTGCCACGCTCCACTGCCGCTCAAAGTGGAAAACTAACAGGTCTGCAAGTAAAAATAAGCCATGAATAGTAGGTCTCCTTCCTAACACTATCAATCTCCCTGCCTGGGGGAAACCAGTGTTAACAATTTCCTTCCAGAAAAATGCAAGTATGCACATACAAGTATATATATCTAGATTTATAAATTGTATATCTATATGGGGTTTTTTATAACAAATAGAAACATTTCATACTAATGCTACACCTTATTTTACTTAACATTGTATCTTTGAAGATCTGTCCATATCAAAACATATAGATCAACTTCCTCTTAAGGAATGCAAAGTAATTTATGGTAAAGAAGTAATATAATTTAATTCACTAGCCCTCAATATTGATGTGGTTTCTAACCATTTTTTAAAATAAATAATGCTACCACAAGCATTTTTATGTTTATGTCTTTCCTCCTATGTACAAGCTTATCTCAGAATAAGTTTGGAGAAGCAGAATTGTTGGCTGCACTTAAAAATCTGATACATATTGCCAAATTGCTGTGCAAAGTAGTTATATGAACTTATATATAACTGATTTATAAATAAAGGTTGATTCTGAAAATTTACATCTACTAAGTGACACAATCTGTATAAAATTCTAAGGCATTGGTAGAAGGTTTTGCTTTCCAATGATTAGAACTAGTCAAACTGTCTTAGCTTCTTCCTTGTATCCTTTAACAATACCCTCAGGAAGAGAGGGCTATTTTAAAATTTTTATTTGCAGTTTCTTTAAAACAGAATGTGTGCCACATGATAAATTCTTTTCAGAATTTAGAACTAGAAACAGTCTGGTAGTTTTTCTTTATTGAATAGCAATTATATGCCTCCCTCTCTTTTTGCTTTGGCTTCCAGGATGCTCAAAATTACATTTGGTGCTCAATCACAGCATCGATATTAATCAATGAAGAAGCATCACTATTTTTATATTTTATATATTATATATACTATATATTTTATATTTATTCCTATTTCTAATTTAATGGCCTAACAATATAGATGCATCTTAAACTGTGAACCCCTCAAATCTATTTCGGAAGTAGGTGGTATATAAACAAACACAATTTGAATGACTTGAGATTAATAAAAGAGGTCAGGAACAGGGCTAAGGTGAAAAGCAAGGAGGGAACAATAGTCCCAACTTTCACTCCCTTCCTGTTTGAAATGTGTGAGACATCTGAATGCTCTTCGGAAACATTCTTAGAAGGTAACAAATTAGGAAAACTTCCCTTGTCTTCCCCATTTTGCAACTGGACAGCAGGAATTAGAATTTCAGGGTACAAAGGGAACTTGAAGATCATTTAAGCAAACCCAGCACTTTTCAAATGAGGAAACTGAGGCCCAGAGAGGTGAGGTGACTTACCCGAGGCCACAGCTCTAGGAAATGACAGAGACGGGACTAGAACGTGGGTAGCTTGAGGTCCAGGCCAATGTGCTGTCCCACTGGGTAACACGCAATGCAGACGACTTGGGGTGGCAGGAGAGAGGAAGAGAAGGTGACCCCTCAGCCCCTAGCAACAAAAACAACAAAAAGGACTTGAGGTACTCATAAATAATTAAGCAATTAGCTGCAGCAGCTACTCCCCTCCCCTCCAGCATCCAGTCACCAAGGCAACTTGGGCAGGGTGCCTGCTGGTTGCCTAGTAACAGTGTGGTCTGCTCCCCTGACATGCTCCCTAGGCATCAAAGGATTTGAGAGCTGGGAAGAACCTTAGACACGGATCACTATTCCAACACCTTCATTTTCCAGATGAAGAAATGGAGGCCCAGAGAAGCTGGGAAACCTGCCCAAGGTCACACAGCTACTCAGAGGCACAGACAGGCTCTATTTCCATTTGCATCCCACTGCACCAGGGCTGCCTCGGGGAAGCTGCAGATGGAGGAGAGGAAATCTCTCCACATTCCTAGTGGAATGTAAAAAAGTCAAAGCAAGCAAGCAAGCAAGAGACAGAGACCTTGAGCTCTCATATGCAATTAGCAGGAGCTGGTAATCCCATCAGCCCAACTTTCATCATCACCATGGCAACGTGGGTGAGGTGGGTGCTGGTTGCCTAGTAACAAGTGGTCCTCACTCTTCTGCTCACATCCGGCTCCCTGGGAGTCACAGGAACAGTAGAATGTTGAGGTTGGAAGGGAACATAGGAATCCTAACTCAGTCTCCTCTTTTAACCAGTGAGGAAACTGAGGTTCAGGGATACTGCAAGTCACACAGTCACAGTGGTAGCTAGTGACAGTCCCTCCACTGATGTCCTCTGTCACAGCAGTGTGGGAAGGGAACCTTCCTCTCAATAAAGTTAGAACATGGGAGGGGAATGGCTGGTAGTTCCCTGGAAAGTAGTTATTTCTATCACTTATCTAAATGGTGGCGATGCCACACACAAAACTTGGCACATAGTAGATGTACACAGGAGGCACTCAGAAAACCTGAGGCAAAAGCCAGCTCTCCCTAAACCTGGCAAGCTTCTTATCCTCTCTGTGCCTCAGTCTCCACATCTGAGGAATGGGCATCCTGACAGTCCCTACCTCTTGAGTCGCTGTCGATTAAATAAGAAAATGGACACCTTGAGTGCCTGGTGTATATTAAAGATGCAGTAAATGTTAGGCATTCATTTGCCCCCACATCCAGCAAATATTTGTTGCATGTCTGTTATGCTAATGGCACTGTTCTAGGCTCTGGAGATTCATTGGTGAGCAGTACAGACAATACAGACAGAAGAAATCCCTGTATCAGTAAGCTTATATTCCAGTGGAATATATATACGTGTGTGTGTAGGCTCTGGAGATTCATTGGTGAGCAGTACAGACAATACAGACAGAAGAAATCCCTGTATCAGGAAGCTTATATTCCAGTGGAATATATATACGTGTGTGTGTATATATATCATTAAGTGTTTGTTGAATGGGTTGAGGAACTCGTTAGCAATATGCTGTTTANAAATCTATTTCGGAAGTAGGTGGTATATAAACAAACACAATTTGAATGACTTGAGATTAATAAAAGAGGTCAGGAACAGGGCTAAGGTGAAAAGCAAGGAGGGAACAATAGTCCCAACTTTCACTCCCTTCCTGTTTGAAATGTGTGAGACATCTGAATGCTCTTCGGAAACATTCTTAGAAGGTAACAAATTAGGAAAACTTCCCTTGTCTTCCCCATTTTGCAACTGGACAGCAGGAATTAGAATTTCAGGGTACAAAGGGAACTTGAAGATCATTTAAGCAAACCCAGCACTTTTCAAATGAGGAAACTGAGGCCCAGAGAGGTGAGGTGACTTACCCGAGGCCACAGCTCTAGGAAATGACAGAGACGGGACTAGAACGTGGGTAGCTTGAGGTCCAGGCCAATGTGCTGTCCCACTGGGTAACACGCAATGCAGACGACTTGGGGTGGCAGGAGAGAGGAAGAGAAGGTGACCCCTCAGCCCCTAGCAACAAAAACAACAAAAAGGACTTGAGGTACTCATAAATAATTAAGCAATTAGCTGCAGCAGCTACTCCCCTCCCCTCCAGCATCCAGTCACCAAGGCAACTTGGGCAGGGTGCCTGCTGGTTGCCTAGTAACAGTGTGGTCTGCTCCCCTGACATGCTCCCTAGGCATCAAAGGATTTGAGAGCTGGGAAGAACCTTAGACACGGATCACTATTCCAACACCTTCATTTTCCAGATGAAGAAATGGAGGCCCAGAGAAGCTGGGAAACCTGCCCAAGGTCACACAGCTACTCAGAGGCACAGACAGGCTCTATTTCCATTTGCATCCCACTGCACCAGGGCTGCCTCGGGGAAGCTGCAGATGGAGGAGAGGAAATCTCTCCACATTCCTAGTGGAATGTAAAAAAGTCAAAGCAAGCAAGCAAGCAAGAGACAGAGACCTTGAGCTCTCATATGCAATTAGCAGGAGCTGGTAATCCCATCAGCCCAACTTTCATCATCACCATGGCAACGTGGGTGAGGTGGGTGCTGGTTGCCTAGTAACAAGTGGTCCTCACTCTTCTGCTCACATCCGGCTCCCTGGGAGTCACAGGAACAGTAGAATGTTGAGGTTGGAAGGGAACATAGGAATCCTAACTCAGTCTCCTCTTTTAACCAGTGAGGAAACTGAGGTTCAGGGATACTGCAAGTCACACAGTCACAGTGGTAGCTAGTGACAGTCCCTCCACTGATGTCCTCTGTCACAGCAGTGTGGGAAGGGAACCTTCCTCTCAATAAAGTTAGAACATGGGAGGGGAATGGCTGGTAGTTCCCTGGAAAGTAGTTATTTCTATCACTTATCTAAATGGTGGCGATGCCACACACAAAACTTGGCACATAGTAGATGTACACAGGAGGCACTCAGAAAACCTGAGGCAAAAGCCAGCTCTCCCTAAACCTGGCAAGCTTCTTATCCTCTCTGTGCCTCAGTCTCCACATCTGAGGAATGGGCATCCTGACAGTCCCTACCTCTTGAGTCGCTGTCGATTAAATAAGAAAATGGACACCTTGAGTGCCTGGTGTATATTAAAGATGCAGTAAATGTTAGGCATTCATTTGCCCCCACATCCAGCAAATATTTGTTGCATGTCTGTTATGCTAATGGCACTGTTCTAGGCTCTGGAGATTCATTGGTGAGCAGTACAGACAATACAGACAGAAGAAATCCCTGTATCAGTAAGCTTATATTCCAGTGGAATATATATACGTGTGTGTGTATATATATATCATTAAGTGTTTGTTGAATGGGTTGAGGAACTCGTTAGCAATATGCTGTTTATGTCGCTGAGCTCCTTCTCTAAGAGGGAGAAGTTTCCTGTTTACACAGTGTGATGCTATAAATATGCAGGCCTGTTTTCTATGTGGGAACTCTGTTTTCCTTTCTTTTAAAAGCTCAGAAGAAAAAGGAAGGCAGTGGCCACTAGGTGGCAGACCTCAGTCCCCCTAGACAGAGGGCACAGGAAGGCAAGGTGGGGCATAGGCCCTGAGGAAGCTTCCAGCAAAGGTTGCAGTAGGTCAGTCTTAGGACAATGGCTTGGAGGGGTGGGAGAAACTTGAAACTATTCTGGCTGTGGCATGGTTTAAGTGTGCTTTGAGTGAGACTGAGCCCTACTTTAACTAAGATCCTGCCTGGGATCCTTATCCTTGCTGAGCTCCAGATTCGTCATCTGGGATATGGAGATGATAACAAGAGTTTCTTCAAGGGGCTGCTTTGGGGCGTGTATAAGAAAACTTTGTCTCATGTACCTTGCAAGCTGCACACAGAAAAAGCTCAACCCGTGTTACTTATCTAGATTCTAAAAGACCCCTGAAGGTCTGGTCAGAGTTGCAAATGGTATGGAAAGGGGTAAAGGAAACAGCATTTGTTAAGCACTTGCAATGAGAAGACTGAGGCTCATGTGGTCACTCAGTCTGGAAAAAGTGGCACTGAGGTTTGGTCACCCCACGCTCTACATTCATCTACCTATCAGTCTCAGAGTCCTTGTCCTGTTCTGCCTGCACCCTTGTGTTGGTCTTCCTTCTTCATTACACGGGTGCCACCCACTTCCAGTCCTCCCCTCCTGAGTTCTAGCCAAACATGGCACAGAGGACTGCAACACTCTCCTAACTAGTCTCCCCACTTCCAACCCTGCCCCTCCAATCCACTGCCACATAGCAGCCTTCGCAACAGTCCCTAAACACAAAGTTAATCCTGCCTAAAGTGCTTCACTAACTTCCGACTGCTCTCGGGATAAAGCCCAAACATTTTGCAGAGTCCATGCATCTCCCAGATCCTTCCTACCTTTCCGACCACATGGCTGAGCTCTTCCCCTTCCTTAAAGCTTCTCTGTGGCCATGGGGCATCTGCACATGCTGTTCCCTCTCCTAAACCACTGGCCCTCAGCTCTGCATGGCTGGCCCTTCTCCTGCCTCAGGCCTCCAACTCTAAAGCAGGCTTTCTCCCTCCCTGATTATTTCCTTCAGGGCACATGTCATAAGCTGCGTGGATACTGCCCATCTCCTACACCAGAGTATCCAGTCCAAGTGGGTAGAGCAGGGCTGTACCTCTCTTGTTCTCCTCTGTATCCCCAGTGCCTCGTGCAGGGCCTGCCCCATGGGTGGCACACTACCAAGATCTTTTAAGAAAATGAACTGGGTATATGACAGACAATGATCAAATGCAGGAGTCTGTGACTTCATGTCCCAATTTCTAATCTTTCTTCTCCACCAGTTTACTCTTTACATGGATGGACTATTGGTCTTCCTACAAAGCACTGTTGTCCTAGTCTTTGCTCAAAAGCCCTAAATGGCTGCCTGTCTCTGATAGACAGGTCTGAAATCTCTGGTCTAGCATCTGAAATCCTTCACACCTCAACCCAACTTTCCAAATGCATTTGCAAGTATATTTCCAAATACATTTGGTTATACATATACCCATATTTACATATATTTGGAAATATATAAATTATATTAAATATATATATTTGGAAATATGCATATCATATATAAATCTGGAAATATAT